CACAAGGAACACAAAGGAAATGGTTTATACCACATGTACTACATGAGAAACTCCATCCAGATTTTGGCCAAAGGGAAAGGAACATTGTCCTTCAAAGCACAAAACTTGCTATCAGACAAGTATACTCATTCCTTTTAAGAACTAAATGACAGCACCAAAATGGTTCAAAATGTCATTCTTCCTTTTGGAGTCTCATAAAATCCTCACTGACACCTCAGCTTGTGGAGGTTAAGGACACACTTCCATGGACTTCTGTGCAGGTCCAAAAGCTTACTAGATTCCTGCCTAACCTTGTCCCTCTGCAAGTCTGCTTCACACACAGAGATCTTTAAACTCTTCATGATGTCCTTGGGACAGTATGAGATACGGTCACAGGAAAAAAAGGCATTATGAATTAATTAGAAAGCATACTTCAGAGGTTCTTTTGCCTCAACGATTTTTTCCCCCCACCACTCACTTTAGTCCCACTCTCAGTTTGAACTTTCTGCATTTTTTTGGTTAACTGAAGCATTTCATTCCTATCTATGTATTTTGGGGTAATATTTAGTGTCTCATCTAAGAAATTATCTCATCTAAGACGTTAAGTATTTAATGAAAAATGGAGTCTCTAAGGAAAGAATTAGTTCCAAACCATATTTGATTTACAGTGAATTTTTGCCACACAGAATAACACATGGAATTTGCACTGAAGCATCTTTAATAGCCTCTTCAATTATCTAGACTAAGGTTTCACTGTACCTAATCAGTGGAAACCCTGAACACAGAGGTTTTGTTTTAAGAGTCCTTCCCAGGACACGAAGGGTTTTCACAGTTCTTTTTCACTTCATGTAGCATTGCAAAGTGCTACATAACACTCATCTGCTCTGCTGATTCTTTGTACCACCTTGGCTTAAATAACCCTGAAATAATTTTATTTCTGATACCTTTTGACCACTTCTAAAGAGAGTGTAGAAAAAAACTTGTTTAGGAGATCAATAATGTCCTTTATGATGTTTCCAGATGGATTTCCAGGTATTGCAGACGGAGTTAAGAATCTCTTGGGCTTCAGCACAAACATGTGAGAAACACACCTGCTTGCTGTAAAATTGGTAGACTTGTGAGAGTTGTGAGAGGAAGTGCAAACAGGGATGAGCTTTCCTCTCTGTTCTATTTTATGCAATTTTTCTATTTGTATTTTAATTTTATTTGCCTGTTTCAATCAAGAAGCTCAATTTAAAAGATTGCACCCAAAAAAAGTAATATGCTCAATCTTTAAAGAGCAAAGCTTAGCCAATTTGGATGAAATAAAGGAAGAATTATTAGATAGTTCTAAATGAATATTTATCTAATTTTCATTACTGTTAAAAAGCAAGAGCAATACTAACAAAACCTCTGCATCAAAAGAGGAAAAAGGAAAAGCAAATCAAACCAGACTACACTCTTGGATTGACACCCATGTAGCCAAACAGGTACTGCACCAAAATCCCAAACCACCTGCTAAGTCACTCTTGAACCAGGTCAGTCTTTAGACAGCTTCTTGAAGTTTCATCTTGCATAAAAGAGGGTTAAGTCTGTTCTTTTCAAAGATCTTTGGCATGATCTTTGATGACAAATGACATGCTCCCATATGCCAAAAAAGAAGGGGAATACAGTCACCCCCAGCTTCAACTTTAACTGGAGCTGCTTTGTTCTGAGTGCCCTGAATAATTAATAACTACTTTGGCAATCAGTCATGCATTCCTTAATGGCACCTCAGGCATCAAGTATCCCATTCACCCGCTCCCCAACTAACAATGGACTTTATTACATCAAGTTTTCTCTGCCAAACTTGTAACTGACATAGTTTAAACTAAACAAGTCACTAGGAAGACTGAGGCCCAAATGTGTAAGAGTTTATAAGATTTCCCTCAATTTCATGTGGCTACTACAGGGGGCATGTGAAAAGAAGGGGGAAAGGAATAAAACATGGATTGTTTTTGCAATAGAGTTCTAGGAGGGCTTAGGTGGCACAGTGCTGCTGCCAAAATCATGAGTTTTAATAAATGGATAGCTGGTCAAAATTGAGAACCATCACTAGGCAGCCCTTACTGAATAAAGCAGCTCACCAGTAAGCACAGAGTAAGTGACTGGGCAGAGCATAGAAGAGTGACAGAATAACAGCTGTGCTGAAGGGAGCATAATAATTTTAGAATAATATAAACAATGTTTGCTTAATAGGAGTAAGATTTTTCAACACTTGCTTCCACTTCATGGTATTCCAGACAAAATTAAATTGCAAGTATTAAACAGAGGAAAGAAACTGGGAGTAAGACCAGAATTACAGAAAGTTCCAGATGCAGTCACAGTACTCAATTTAAAATGGAAGAAATTCAAATTATTAAGCTCTGATTAGTTAGGATCTGAAGAAAAGTGCCATTTTTTTCTCAGAGAACATTCTGCTTGTATACAGTATGTGCACTGCTTTTATGCAGTGCCTTCCAACCCCACATCAAACCTTTCTAGAGAATGATGTTGCATCCACTGACACTGGAATGGCTGTGGATCATTTCTTTAGAGAGACTAAATCCTAGAAATAAAGTAATCAGATCAACAGCCATTCTCCTACTACTTATCATGTGAAAAGTTGGTTTGAAATAGAATATACAAAGTAAAAAAATAAACTAAAAAAATTATATATATATATACACACACAATAAATTACAGCAGATCTAAACAAAGCCATTTCTCTTGCTCTTTAAAAGACCTGAAAATCTGTCCAGTGCCCCTCTCTGTGTGTGGCCTTCAAATACAGAAACAAGCTTGCACTGTTTTATTTCAGTTTTGCTTCATTTCTCCCCAAACAATCTCTCACTGCTAGTCTACCAGGCATCTCCCCCTCCCCACTACTTGTCAAAAAAAAAAAAAGAGAAAAAAAAAAAAATTAACTGTTTAGGACCAATTCATTGAACTGAATCTCTTAGTGAGTCAGTTATGATTTTGCAAGAATTATTTAAAATTTAAACTCATTCCCCCAGCTGACATATTTTTTGTGGGGATGTGGGAGGGGACTTGTAAATTTTATTTTCTCTTGAAAAGCTGGATGAGATAACTTTATAGTTGTAAATAAATCTACTGTTTTTTTGGCACTGGTTTTCAACTGCTTTGGGTACAAGAAGCAGATTTAATCTTGGAACTAAACAATATCTATTTAATTTACAATCTGCTGTCTGAAATATGTATTGTATTCTGCATGACTATTAGGACATATTTTTTGTTGAAAAAGATCACAGCTCTTTTTAGAGGGAGATTTAGAAATTAACTGATAAGCAGTTTTGGGGCTCATTCCAAATTCTTATGACAGCAAGTGGGCTGCTCTTGTCCCTTGCATGTGTTAGGTGGAACTATTTTGAACATTAAACCATTGTTTTGTGAGTGCTGGTAATTAAAATTTTCTAAGTTGTTTTCCTCATCAAATATTAAGGAATAAATTCAGTCCATTTGTACAGCATGACACAACAATAATAATACATATAATCCTATTTTCAGGTGCCTTTGTTTAAGCAGTTCCACAGAAATGGGATCATACATAATTTAGATACATCGCAGGTAGGGTGTGATACCAGAGCTATGACAATGGAATTTGGCACCAGCCCCACAAATACATGTATTTAGTGATTTTCTTTCACTATTTTCTAATGGTAAATATACTAATTACATCCTGCCCTCAGGTGTACTGAAGTTTAAACCTGGCCTTATTTCAAGTTTGGAGACTGACATTTTATTTAATTTTAAAGTTTACCATTTTCAGGTCATAGTATTCTACTAGCAAAAGTTATTCCAACTCATAAAAGAGTCAAATATGCAGATCAAACCTTTAGTCCCTTTAGAAGTAGTTCTTCCTTAGGCATAAGTAGTTAAAAATATTTATAGGAAAACAACCCACATAAGTATATATATATCTTTATATACAAACATTCCACCCCCAGTGCACTGACACCATCATCAGCATGCTAAATATATTCTACTCAATAACTGAAATTTTGCCAAAGGAGAGAAGGAACAAAAATAGCAGAAAAATAAAGCCAGCCAAGTGCTTTCTGAGTGAAGCACATGTCAGTGGAGTTACAACATGGATTCTTTTGATCAATTTTTCACTGACCTTCAAGATATTTTCCATCAACCAAATACCACAGACCACAAGACTACTTAAGAGATTCAAAGTGAATTATGAAGCATTTAACAAAAAAATACTCCTTACTCTCTTTAAATATGGAATACCTATTTTAAAACAAGTCAACTACTATTTTCCTCCATTTTAATGTTTCAGGACATTATCTCATCCTTAAAATTTTGTAAACATTTTTTGCTGTCACAGATCTTTCATTTCATGAAAATAGTAACAGAAAACTGTTGACAGTGAAATTAGTCACATTTTAGACAATGATTAGTTTAATATCTGTGATTAACAAGCTTTAAGTAACAAAGAGAAGGCTGAAGTACAGTTTACAAGGAAAATGCAGTGAAAAATGAACATTATGGATTGTTTTCTTTGTCTCTATAATAAAACTATCTAGAATCAGAAGAACTCTTCTGTTTGGGAACTAGGTATAATCATCTGGTTGGGTATGTCTAATAGCAGCTGACTAACGAAAACATTAATCTCTTCAGTTTCTTTTTTGTAACTTCTCAGTCCTCTTTCAACATCACACTGCTGATTCATAAACTTATCTGTCTTTTTCTCGAAGCTGGAATTCTTTCTTTTTTTCCACAGTATAGTATTAGGAATGCAAACATTTTAGTCAATTTTCCACCCAAACCACCAATCCCACAACTTCCTAGTCCAAAGCCATCCAAAAAGAACCACAGGAACACTCAGTTAAGAAACAGAAACAAAATGTACAATTCAGGAAGACAGATTGCACACTGTTATTATTATTAAGAAATAAACAGTAATTAATCTTACCCTATTAAAAGATTCTTTTGAGCCACCACTTCAAAGATTTTGTATCCTGAAATATTTCGATCTGAAACATGTTACTTACTGGCATAAGAAGTGTATAATGGATGCAGAATCCAGGTTCAGAAGGAAAATATTCATCAGACACAAATCTTATTCTGATCTGGTTTCCTTTGGAGATTTGTCTGCTTGGCACGCTACTGGAACCACACCAGCGCCCTAAAACAGTGCCATCACTGGGCTCTTCAACTTCTACAAAGTCATACCTGAACAGAAAAGACAATAAAATGTTTATTTACTTATAGAAATTCTATAAAATTCCTAATTTAACCAATAAACTGACTCTGCAATTTTTTATTTTTTAAACGCTAAAAGTATGCAGCTAAAGCCAGCTATTTTAAACTTAGCTCCCAAGTTGCTACTGACTTACATACATAATAAAATCATGCAGTGAGGTTAAAAAAATAAAAGCAGAGTAAGCATTTTGAAGAGACCCAAGTGTATGGTTTTGCTTCTTGTACAGAAAGCAATTACCACATGTGTGACAGGGCAGAATAAAGTCAGAGGAAAAAAAGACTGTAATTGCCTGAGTGGCACAGTACTTCGTACTGCAATTTCACCAGCAGTACACTGCATGCCCCCAGTGAAACTCTGGGGGCTTTTTGGGATGGAAAATTCCCTCTCCTATAATGTCCATGGTGAATAACCTCCTAAAGGTTAAATTAAGCCTTATTATATCCCAACAAAATGTTTGTTGAGCAAAAACCTAGACCTCACCACATGTCAAAAAGAACCTGGTATTGTAGAAATATTGACAAGAGACATATGGGTAGGGAACTTTGAGAGAATGAAACATATGAAGTTTGATTTAGTTTCATTGCTTTTAACATGTGGTCTGGATACTCCTGGGGATCGGTGAACAACCAGATCCATGAAAGGTAACTAAGTACTCCTGGGGATCGGTGAACAACCAGATCCATGAAAGGTAACTAAGGTAACTAAGACATTAGTTAGTGCCAGTCAATCATCAATAAGCTTCAGCATGGCATACAAATGTCTTCATTTCCACTGGAAATATTTAGGGGGTTCCCAAGTCATAAAAACACGGAAAGCCACTGCTCTAGAAGGGACGTCTGGAGTCATAAAAACACGGAAAGCCACTGCTCTAGAAGGGACGTCTGGTTTCAGTGCTCTAACCTGCTTCATGTCAGCTGCCCACTGACAGAATAAACACTAAGCCTTGCAGCTGCATTTTGCCTGCCCCAGCGTGAATCCCCCAGAGCCCCAGTGGCAGCAGAGCCCGGTGGTTTGGGAAGGTGAGTGTGTGCAGGGCAAACCCTCGGCTGTTCTCAGCTGCAGCCTCCCGAGCCAAGCTTTTACTTTTAAGCCGCAATTTGTATCCGAAGCATGAGCGTAACAAACCCCTGAGAAAGTTCTGAGGTTTCTGATATTTTTATGTTCTCTTGAATGCGAAGTCATATATTAAATACATCTCACATAAATCTGAATTTGTAAATAGCAGAGTCCTTTTCAACGGTACAAACAGTCCTAACTCTGATGATAGCAAAGGCTCATATTTTAAAAAACATGCACACACACACTCTCTACCAAATATGCCAAACTATATTTAATGTGAAAATTATTACCTCATAAACATTTTCTACTAAAGCTTTCTCTGGATTTTTTTTTTCAGTAAATCTAATCTTTATAATGATTCCCAGTTCCCTAGTTAGACAGCAGGCAATAAATTCTTGTGTTGCATGTTTGTGCAAGACTGACTTGCACATTTATTATCTCCATTTAAAGGACCACTATTTTTTCCACTTAATTAAAAATGAATGCAATGAATATGCTCATTAACTGTGCTCAAAATCCATTACTGCCATGTACCATAGTTTTAAATCTCTGTTGAACTTATGATACTAATTACTTTATCATTATCTTTTTTCCCCCAAACACAAACTAATTCCTTTAACAGATCCACCAGTGTTTTTACTTTATGATCGGGTATACAACTTATTACAAAGGCAATGTGTACATTAATTGTACTAAGGCCTCAGGGCTCAACACATTTATCAAATTTATTTGGAGTGCTGAGCTTTTTTTTGCTTTTTAAGATCAGCTTATGAAATTTCTAAAGATAACTTTTTTTTATTTTTCAGTTTAGGATATGAAATCATTACCTACCTTTCTGATTTTTAAAGAGTGAGATAAGCTAATATTTACATTTATTGACTTAGGTTTAAGATGTTGAGGGGAGTCAGGGGACTTAGTGCCTCTACCTAACTTGCAGTAATTTTTATTGCACCCTTTGGTCTTCTGGTACACCTGAAGTAAAAGAGAAACTCAAATTCCACAGTTTAAATCCTAGACCTTTCAAATAAAAGCTCATTAATTCCATTAGTAGAGAGGTAAACTCGAGGGAAACAAGTATGCTGGAAAACCAAACAAAATTCAGCTTGAATAGTGACGTTTTTAGCCAATAGCTTTATTCCAGTAAGTTATCTAGGCTAAATGTGCTACAAGAGCCTGCCAAAAAGCCTTCTGTGTGACTAAAATTCCGCTCATCACATATCTGGACTGATGTCTGAACTTTCTGTAAAAATAACAAACCAAAGTTGTTCAGATGCTTTAGTATTTACATTATTGTGCTACGTAATTTTGCAGCTGATGTCACGGGGCTAAGGAGCAGCAGGGACAATAGCATGGCCATGGAAAATTATTTCCCCATGAAGAGAAGCTTGCACTTGAAACACAAGAGAACTATGATAAATAACCAAGAACTGAGATCCCATTTTACAACTTCAATGGAGAAAAAAAATGTTAAAATGTTGAACTTACTAACGCAGAAGCCTTATTTTCTTTGCAGCATGCAAAGGAGCAAACAGAAGCCTCTTTGAAAATGACTAAAGAAATGCTCTGGTGCTGTATCTGTAGTATTTTTTAAATATTACTAAGTATAATTTATGCCAAAAAGGCAGTCCAATACCCTTTCCAGGGACTAAAGATGCTCTGGCCTTTAGGCATGATGCCCACAATACCTTCTGATATACCTGTTGCAGAAGATCTTCTGCCCCCAAGACCTGGGTGCCTGGGAACATGGATTGAATCAACAATCTGAACAAAGACAATTTACTGGAAAGGAGCAAGGAAGCAACATAAGCAGCTCAAAGCTTCAACATCATTCCAACCAGGAAATGTATTTTCCAAGGGTATATGTTTTCCTCTCCTTTCTATATGATTTTCTGTGGTTTATACTGTCATTTCCTAAACATATTCTGACAGGCTGTTTACCTTGGCTTGGAGTTTTGTGACCTTTCTATGGCTTCCCTCTGCCTCCAGAATTCCACAAATATATCAAAAAATGTAAGAAGCAAAAATCCACAAGGCAAAACCCTTTGTCATATCAGTGGTGTTGGACCTTTCCATCTGTATACAGATGCATGCTAGACAAAAATCTAGAAAGCTCGTTAAAACAGTTTGTGAGAGGTGAAATTTTTTCCTTCCCCTTTTGATAAAAACATGTTTCTTTTTTTTTTAGTTAAGAAATAAAAAATTGTTAATGATCCCTACTGAATTTTTTTACAGCATTTTGTGGGGCAATGTAATATTTCTATTCCAACTTGTTTTAAAGCACATACAGTCCAGAGGTTTTCCTGGTGTTGACATAGCACACCCACCTGCAGACCCAAAGCATCCAAGGTCCTCTGGCAGTTCACCAAACTTGTAAAATAGCACTGAAATGGTTTGGACAGCTTCAGTTTTGGAAACACTGCAAATTACTGGGAACTGTCATCATGAAAATATAACTTTAATATTTTACTAATCAGAATTTTAACACCATTGTTCTAAAGGAAACTTTACTTCCCTCTTCTACCTCTATCTGAAATAATTTTAACTTCTGCCATTGAAATATTTATATTTCTTATGGAACAAAAGTCGTGGTTTCCATAATTTGATGTAACTGTGCTTTTGTAAAGACAAAAGTGTGAGGTACTGGTGATACCTTAGATAGCCTTCACTTCTTAGATCACTGTCAAATCACATCTGTAAGTAATAATATTGCTCCTTGTAAAATAAACATATTTGCCTATAGATGAAACTAAGGCCAAACATTTAGCTTGACGACATTTTTTTCCAAAGCTTGGCAGATTCACATTTTTCTGAGTGAAAAAGGGAACACTGGAGCATGATAGAGGCACTCAAATCCATGGTATCTAATAGCAGCTTTGTTATTCCCTGCAGGCCAGTATGCAGCAAAGATGTGTGCTAGGACAAGAGGAATGCAGTTTATGACAATGGGCAGAGGGAAAATGGGAGGACCCCAAGAAGGAAGAAAAGGACAGAGTGGCATGTTGGATTAGAGAAAAAAAAACCCAATACAGTTGTAAAACAAAAAGCATACTCCATCATTCATTCAACAGGTGGAGAACTTTTTTTACTACCAACATCACCCCTCTCACTGAGACAAAATTAAGTTTTTCTCAAAGACAAAGGCACAGACACAAAAGATACATCATGTGTGATGAAAATCAAAATGACACAATATTTAAGTCAAAACCTATTGCCCAAGTTTGCAAGCTTCAGATGAGCTGTTTAATTAATTCCATTGCCTTTCAAATGCATTAATTTACACCATACTCTTCTGCATTTGTTGCCAGACAGAAATATCTTTATGTATGTCAGACTGGGCCCCCATTCAGTACAGTAGATACAAGATTCCTGGAATTGAAACCCACTAGCAGTGCACATCAGTAAAAGTTATCTATTAATAATGTCACTTGCCAAATAGGCTGTAGAGAAAAGAACACAGAAAGCAGATTTCCTGGAGGTACAGAAGGGAAATTGCACCTTGACTGAAATGGTGGCTCTGTGACAGCACCAGCAAATACTCCATACAGAGTAAAAGTTCAGTAAAGATTATTCTGCTCAACATCGTCAGAAATATTTAACTGGGGCTACACTGAGTGACAGTAAACTCAGGATACTAGAAGAAAACATTTTTCAAAAACTAGCCAATATAAAATTTTAATTATTTAAAATATTCCCTCTGGATTTTGTCTTTTCAATATGAATTTCCAAACAAAGTTACCCAGAGTCATTTGACTGCAGTTCCTGAGGCTCACAATATGGGTAATTTACCTCTAAGACTCACTCTTTAGGAGGATTTGGTAGTGTCCTCTCCTGCAAGAGGAAACTCCATTGGATATCATTACAGATCATCCAAAAGTTGAGAAGACTTACACTCTGTGATTTCTGTCATGAT